TTTCGTCACACCATCGGACCAATGTTGTTATGGCAGGAGATGACAAGTTGTTTATCGGCACTGTGTTGATGGTTTTCGATTCACAGGGGGCTGTGTTCGTGGTGGTAGAGAATTGTACTGGGAGCGAAACTGTCTTAGATGTGTGCGAGACTGACAGGAAGGAAATACTCGAGGCCTGCATGAGAGTTCACTGCCATGTAAAAGCTTCCTGGTTCAATGTCAGTCACACAACAGCAAAATAAACGTAGCAAAAGTGAATAATGAACATAAATCTGGGTAGTGTCGTTCCAGATTCGGATTGAACAAGTGTCAAATATGTAAAAGAGAAATTTTCAAATGTAGAAACCAATGTGCATACTGGTTTTTATGTTTTTACTTCCATAAACACAAAAAGTATAAAGTCAGTTCTCAACACTTGTCATATTCCATGGTTGATGCTCCTTTGCCTGCTTGCTGCAATGTGCTGTGTCGTGGTATTCTAAGTCAATCACTTGGTGCTGATTATTGAGATGGGCATTCATATTTCAAAGGTGGGGTTTCTTGCAGTAAATTCATGACATATTGTAGGCCATGCTTCGACTTTCACATTTACATTGTGATACATAAAACTCATGTTTTAGTTCATAGCAGTGTTGTAACCCGATACACTCACTCACTGATAGTCATTCCTTATGAAGTTTGATCCGTCGCCATCCCCTTTGAAGATCCCCTCTTTCCCCCACACACCCTCACACACACACACACACACACACACACACACTCACACTCACACCCTCACTCACACACATACACACACACACACACCCTCACTCACTCACTCACTCACTCACTCACACACACGCACACACACACACACACACACACACACAGGAGTACTCAACATCTTCACCTGCTTTAATATTTAATTGTTTTGTACTGACAGAAATCTCAAGTTTCATAACTGTAGATCAGTTTCCTCTTTGTCCATCAATTATTCAGTTCAGCAGATTACTGCCTTTCAGGGGCTGAAGGAAGTGGGTGGTATGCAGCCGGCCTTAAGGAAGGATGGAGATCGGTTCATGGTGATAGGACACTGACTTGTTGTCAATTTGTCTCAATCTCACCCATAGCAGAACCTCCTTCACTCAATCTCACCCATGGCTGATAGCTCCTCTCAGTCCCACCCATGGCTGGTAGCTCCTCTCAGTTCCACCCGTGGCTGGTAGCTCCTCTCAGTCCCACCCGTGGCTGGTAGCTCCTCTCAGTCCCATCCATGGGTGGTAGCTCCTCTCAGTCCCATCCATGGGTGGTAGCTCGTCTCAGTCCCACCCATGGCTGGTAGCTCCTCTCAGTCCCACCCATGGCTGGTAGCTCCTCTCAGTCCCACCCATGGCTGGTAGCTCCTCTCAGTCCCATCCGTGGCTGGTAGCTTCTCACAGTCCCACCCATGGCTGGTAGCTCCTCTCAGTCCCACCCGTGGCTGGTAGCTCGTCTCAGTCCCACCCATGGCTGATAGCTCCTCTCAGTCCCACAAATGGCTGGTAGCTCCTCTCAGTCCCACCCATGGCTGGTAGCTCCTCTCAGTCCCACCCATGGCTGGTAGCTCCTCTCAGTCCCACCCATGGCTGGTAGCTCGTCTCAGTCCTACCCGTGGCTGGTAGCTCCTCTCAGTCCCACCCGTGGCTGGTAGCTCCTCTCAGTCCCACCCATGGCTGGTAACTCCTTTCAGTCCCATCCGTGGGTGGTAGCTCCTCTCAGTCCCACCCATGGCTGGTAGCTCCTCTCAGTCCCACCCATGGCTGGTAGCTCCTCTCAGTCCCACCCATGGCTGGTCTGGCTGGTAGCTCCTCTCAGTCCCACCCATGAGACTGAATAACCCTCAGACCTTACCGCTCAACAAGGACCTTACCGCTCAACAAGGACCTTACCCCTTTGAGCATCTTACTGGACCTCAGCCTGCTGCCTCAGTCTGGTGAGACCACCTCTGGGGTCAGATCATCGAGTCCTTGTTTCCCCATATGTCCCTCTCAAGAGTCATTATTTGTATAATATTCAGCTTACATCTGATAGAGCCTGCTGACTTGGTTGATGCATATCATTGTATCCCAATTGTGTGGATCGATGCTCTTGATATTAATCACTGGATTATCTGGTCCAGACTCGATTATTTACAGACCGCCGTCATATAGCTGGAATATTGCTGAGTGTGGCATAAAACAACAAACCAAACCAAATCCATCTGATAGAAGGTGTGGTCAGTACGGACCTGATGGTGATCTGTACCTTCCATTCTCATTGACAGCATGATGATGTACAAGAGTACTTCATTTATCAAGACCCAGAAAAGTACACCTCCATTTCTTGGTGTCAGTGTGAGAACCATGGTAGTTTATTTTCATATCTGACTGATCATATCAGGAGCATCACACCAGGCCTGCTGAAGTCAGGGTCAACTGAGGTCAGTTAGCCAGTAGGGCCCAGAGCTATAGATAAGCCTTTGGTTGTTTTGGTATTTTACCCAGGAGGTTGATTTTGATTGGGTATCAACAAGTTTCAAGGTGTATTTAAATTATTTAAGACTTTTGTTTCTTGACATTTGGGTACTTAACAATACCTGTAAATCATTAAAAACTATAGGAATAGTAGTCATGGTCGTATACCCAACTCTGTCTCCTTGCAGCTCCCTCTCCGGGAAGCCATTTTTTGTTATTTTTGTTCATTTCTTTAATCACCAATCAGCGATTGATTGAAACATTTGTAAGAAGTGCATTAACTTGGCATCATGTGCTTTTCAATTGGCTTCTATCAGTATGTTTGTTGCACAAGCTTTTCCAAATGTAACTGTGGGTAAGTGAATTTCACGATGGGCTGATACACAATCATTTTATCCAACAGATGTAAAATACGCAAACAATTTATATTATAGAATTTGTAATATATGCATTAATTTTATTTCAAAAGTATAGTTTTTGTTACATATTTGATACGCTAGGATTTGATTTGTCTGCATATTTCAGTTTATACATTTCGTATTTTACCCAAGTACAAAGCTTATCTCAAGCTCAGGGTCCAGTGTTATACACTGACAACTGGCCACACATTATCTATATAATGTCATTTAACACTTTTGTGTCATGATGTCATCACTTTGTCTGACAGTTCATCAATAATAACCAGAAGCCTTTGTTTCCGGGCCATGCTCAACTCTGCAAAACAAAGTCCCAACAGAAAATGTTTTTGCCACCTTTCAAAAATATTATGTGTCCCTCAAATCAGCTTGATCCGCATGTCTGTTTCTTCTTTTATGATCACGGGGCGGTCGGGTAGCCTAGTGGTTAAAACGTTCGCTCGTCACGCTGAAGGCCCGGGTTCGATTCCCGACATGGGTACAATGTGTGAAGCCCATTTCTGGTGTCCCTCGCCGTGATATTGCTGGAATATTGCTAAAAGCGGTGAAAACCATACTCACTCACTCACTCTTTTATGGTCATTTGACATGATTAGAATGTTAATGGTGTGGATGAATTAAACATATTAAAGAGTCTAACCTACCTACCCAACTTCATACCGATCGTGACTTTGTCACATATCTGTATTTTTAATGTGGCCAAATTTGTTGTCATAATTAATGTACAACATGTATTTCACATTTTCTGTGACTGTCCGCAACAAACAGCATGGCACTAATTGTGCCATTATTGAAGATGAAAAACACTATATATATTACACTGTACAAAACATAATCATCAAAGATCTCTTCTGTCTAAAGTGCTAGAGAAAGATTTAAAACATTTAACCAGGGTTAGAAACTAACAGTTTTTGTCCACTTGTCCTTATAATGATAACATATAGCAAAACCCTTAAAATGGGCCAATTTCTACTAGTCCTTAGGATACCTTCACTATTGGACAGTTTGGTAAGGACTACAGGACTAGTGCCAATTTCTAACGCTGATTTAACCAAATTGACCAAAATGATTTATTCTTATACATTTTAACAAATAATGACGTCAACACCATAACTTATACCTGTCACCATGTTTACAACTTCAGGCAATATGTGCCAAATTAAGTATCTGACGGGAGATATAGGTATCATGTGTATGTATGTACAAAGCTTATGTTTTATAGTTGTTTCTTAAACATGTTAAACTTCTTGTAAATACTCCCAACATGTTACCTGTATGTTTATCTCAATTTATTATATGTATTTTTACAAAATTGCCTCCATTCTGTAATGGAATGTTTCTTGCAATAAATATAATCTTATCTTATCGTATGCTAAGTCCACTGTGTTTGAAGAACACTAGTCCTGGTGAAAGTTTTCCAGACATTTTGTGCAGCAGGAGACAGCTTATTTTGAGGAGGTCTTGAAACAGCTGATGAGATTACTTCCTGGTTAGGGGGAGAGAATGTATTGTTTGTGAATCTCTTCCAGGGGCCTCCTAGGGCCACATGTCAAGATAATTGGTTTGGGTGTAAATATCAAACAAATTTGCTGTTACTTTGTGAAATGTACAACAGTATCTCGTGTAGCAATAATGAAAGAATGTACATGTTCTGCACAAAGGAGTATTTTCTTAATGGACAAGATGAGACTGTACATATGGTAAAGCGCCTGTTTGTTGACATTGTCTGGAGATCCTCTCAAGGAACAGACATCTGGAAAGATCAGACATCTGTGGAGCTGAGGTGACGGCAGCTGACCTGGAGTGATGCACTGGTGGCGGGCTGTGATGCACTGGTGGCAGCTGGCTGATGTTCCAGGCTGTGATGGCAGCAACCACACAAAGACTATCAGTGAGATACGCAGAGTGACAAATGTTTGTTGTTGTGTAGCAGTTTCTACACTTCCCTCTTGACTTGGTGTTGACATTTCGGAAGGATGTGAAAATATTTCAGAAACTGATTAAAAACTACACATACAACAGGAAATTATGACATTTATGAAGCATCTGTCATTTTAATCTATTCTGTTTCCTGGAAAACTTGAGGGGATTCAGTGTAGCACTTGAACAGATCAGAAACAGGAAATAAAACTGATTGTGTATCAGTGGAGCACAACGCCTCATTACACTGCCAAGGATCAAGCAGCCAGGTCCAGGGATGCCATTGTGTCTGTGGACATGATGTAGCAGACTAACTGATTGTGTACCGGTCGAGCACAACGCCTGATTACACTGCCAGGATCAAGCAGCCGGGTCCAGGGATGCCATTGTGTCTGTGGACATGATGTAGCAGACTTGATGTAGAGAGACACTCATAAGTGGAGTTATTATTTAGCCACCAGGAGCAGTGCGGAGAAATGACAGGCAAGTCAGGACCTACACTTTTGTAATATGTATACTGAAGGTCTGATGTATGATCATGATGATGATATCCAATCATCATGGTCAAGCCAAGGATCCAGGTTCAAATTCCGACATGGATTCAGTGTGTGAAGCCCATTTCTCGTATTCTCCTGCTGTGATATGGCTGGAATAGCACGAGTGACATAAACCTCACTCCCTCACTCCATGCAAGTTTTGTTTACAAGTGTTTGACTAGTCTCAGACTAGTACCGGGCACCTGCAGCTCAGTGGTGTTTACAACTGTTTGACTAGCCTCGGAGCTGTGACCTGCAACTCAGTGGCATTTACAACTGTTTGACTAGCCTCGGAGCTGTGCCCTGCAACATAGTGGTGTTTACAACTGTTTGTCTAGCCTCGGAGCTGTGACCTGCAACTCAGTGGTGTTTACAACTGTTTGACTAGCCTCGGAGCTGTGACCTGCAACTCAGTGGTGTTTACAAGTGTTTGACTAGCCTCAGACTAGTACCCGGCACCTGCAACTCAGTGGTGTTTACAAGTGTTTGACTAGCCTCAGACTAGTACCCGGCACCTGCAACTCAATGGTGTTTACAAGTGTTTGACTAGCCTCGGAGCTGTGACCTGCAACTCAGTGGCGTTTACAACTGTTTGACTAGCCTCGGAGCTGTGACCTGCAACTCAGTGGTGTTTACAAGTGTTTGACTAGCCTCAGACTAGTACCCGGCACCTGCAACTCAGTGGTGTTTACAAGTGTTTGACTAGCCTCAGACTAGTACCCGGCACCTGCAACTCAGTGGTGTTTACAAGTGTTTGACTAGCCTCGGAGCTGTGACCTGCAACTCAGTGGCGTTTACAACTGTTTGACTAGCCTCGGAGCTGTGACCTGCAACTCAGTGGTGTTTACAACTGTTTGACTAGCCTCAGACTAGTACCCGGCACCTGCAGCTCAGTGGCGTTTACAACTGTTTGACTAGCCTCAGAGCTGTGACCTGCAACTCAGTGGCGTTTACAACTGTTTGACTAGCCTCGGAGCTGTGACCTGCAACTCAGTGGCGTTTACAACTGTTTGACTAGCCTCGGAGCTGTGACCTGCAACTCAGTGGCGTTTACAACTGTTTGACTAGCCTCGGAGCTGTGACCTGCAGCTCAGTGGCGTTTACAACTGTTTGACTTGCCTCGGAGCTGTGACCTGCAACTCAGTGGTGTTTACAACTGTTTGACTAGCCTCGGAGCTGTGACCTGCAGCTCAGTGGTGTTTACAAGTGTTTGACTAGCCTCGGAGCTGTGACCTGCAACTCAGTGGCGTTTACAACTGTTTGACTAGCCTCGGAGCTGTGACCTGCAACTCAGTGGCGTTTACAACTGTTTGACTTGCCTCGGAGCTGTGACCTGCAGCTCAGTGGTGTTTACAACTGTTTGACTAGCCTCGGAGTTGTGACCTGCAACTCAGTGGTGTTTACAACTGTTTGACTAGCCTCGGAGCTGTGACCTGCAGCTCAGTGGTGTTTACAACTGTTTGACTAGCCTCAGAGCTGTGACCTGCAACTCAGGGGTGTTTACAACTGTTTGACTAGTCTCAGACTAGTAGCTGCGACCTGCATCTTAGAGTGACAGCCGACAGGTTTACTGGCTTTGCTTTAAACTCTGTGACCATATCCAGTAAAAACTACAGAACTGATGATAGGCCACCGTTGGTTGTTTTGAGATATTCCCATTTACTGTGTGTCATGATAAAATAAATACTTGAAACAAACATGACGTTTGACATGTTGGAAGATAAAACATTTAACTTTTGAACATGTCTGACAGCGATTGGGATCGTTGTCAGACTAAGCTACACAGAGAAGAAAAAGTTTGAGATTTTTCAATCCTTGGTGTTCATCATTGGAAGGACTTTTCATTGAAGAATTGTAACTGGCCTCCAGGCTGTGCAGATTGCTGAGAGACTATCAACAGCAGCGCTCCATAGAGTTATTTCTCCACAATCACAAGGCTCAAACTGACACGTCTGTTAGTCAAAGACTAGTTCAGTTCAGGAAGGACAGAGGACATTTCCTTGTGGACTACCACTTTTACCATTAGGTAGATGGCAAATCTACAGCAGGTCATTTTTTGTGGACTAGTGAAAATAGAAAATAATTTCTAGCCGTGGAGGCTTGGTTGAAGTGTCAGTGTCGTCTGCCAATACTGGGGATTGTTATGAAATATTCATGTACAGCTCTTATAGGTAAATGCAAAGTCAAGGAAATCTGATATTTACAATTCATGAGACTCGGCCATCGGGGAGACAGTCAGTGAGATGAAAGTATTCAGTGTTGGGTGTGGAAATACCTGCTGCTGACGGGATGACAACTATCTTCAGGTAATTGACCTTTAAATAATCGGTGCATGGTATCAGGAGTAAATATGACCCGTGAGGATCAGGGTTAGAATTGGTCTTCAGCAAGCCAATTGCTTGTCTCTCCCTGTGAAGATCTGGGTTAGAATTGGTCTTCAGCAGGCCATGCTTGTATCTCCTGTGAAGATCTGGGTTAGAATTGGTCTTCAGCAGGCCATGCTTGTCTCTCCCCGTGAAGATCCGGGTTTGAATTGGTCTCCAGCAAGCCATGCTTATCTCTCCCCGTGAAGATCTGAGTTAGAATTGGTATTAAGCAAGCCATGCTTCCTGTAACAGATGTCTGTGCTTGTCATTAAAGGCGACTAACGGGATCAGGTGATCAGGCTTGCTGACTTTGTTGATGCATGACATCGTATCCCAATTGCGTGGACCAATGCTCATGATATCAATCACCAGATTATCTGGTCCAAACTCTATTATGTACTTGATGCTTGATGTTTATTCTCAGGGGTTAAAATGTATACATACAAGCATGCCGATTGAACGTTATGTTGGCATGGTTAAAATACACACACACACACACACACACACACACACACACACACACACCACGCACACACGTACACGCACACACACCAACACACACGAACACACACACACACACACTTACACACACACACACACACACACACACACACACACACACACACACACACACACACACACACCAGTGGCTTTACTGCACACTTACAATTTGAAGAATATATACCAAATATGTCACATCAATTTTTCAAAAGCTAAGTTATGATATTTAAGTGACTGCATCATTTGAAGATTCTAAAATCGTTTCACTCGCCACAATATTAACCTCTATATTGTAGGCATGCGATAACCAAACATAACAATGTCGTCGTTAAGGTTCAAATCTCATTCAATGTGTTTGGAGATGGACTTGAACACAAAAATCTGTTCTGATTTAAGTTCAAGTTGATTATGTGTTTTCACTTTGTCTCAGTATAAATCTTGGCTTCCTTGAGGTAGAAATAAAGAAGTGTTATTTTGAAAATTATGCCAGGAATAAGGACGAAGGATGTCATGATAGACCTTGGCACCCTTATATCCTGTGAGGCACGCCTAAAACATTTCACTAAAAACATTTGCATTTCGATCCCAGGGTCTGATCATGCTGAACATGCAAAAGTAGCCCTGACTTGCAGTGTATAGGTTTCCTAATTTCTTGTTCTGTCGCTCATCAAGCTTATTGATCCTGTTGTCATGGATATGTTCAGAAAGTGACACCGGCATAGTTCCCTGTATCTCTCACCGAGTACTGTCGTAATGACACAGGGTATATTTCCCCATATCTCCCACCGAGTACTGTTGTGATGACACAGGGTATATTTCCCCCATATCACCCACCGAGTACTGTCATAATGACACAGGGTATATTTCCCCATATCACCCACCGAGTACTGTCGTAATGACACAGGGTATATTTCCCCATATCTCCCACTGAGTACTGTCGTAATGACACAGGGTATATTTCCCAATATCTCCCACTGAGTACTGTCGTAATAACACAGGGTATATTTCCCCATATCTCCCACTGAGTACTGTCGTAATGACACAGGGTATATTTCCCCATATCTCCCACTCAGTACTGTCGTAATGACACAGGGTATATTTCCCCATATCTCCCACCGAGTACTGTCGTAATGACACAGGGTATATTTCCCCATATCTCCCACCGAGTACTGTCATAATGACACAGGGTATATTTCCCCATATCTCCCACTGAGTACTGTCATAATGACACAGGGTATATTTCCCCATATCTCCCACTGAGTACTGTCATGATGACACAGGGTATATTTCCCCATATCTCCCACTGAGTACTGTCATGATGACACAGGGTATATTTCCCCATATCTCCCACTGAGTACTGTCGTAATGACACAGGGTATATTTCCCCAAATCTCCCACTGAGTACTGTCGTAATGACACAGGGTATATTTCCCCATATCTCCCACTGAGTACTGTCGTAATAACACAGGGTATATTTCCCCATATCTCCCACTGAGTACTGTCGTAATCATGGTAATGACACAGGGTATATTTCCCCATATCTCCCACTGAGTACTGTCATGATGACACAGGGTATATTTCCCCATATCTCCCACTGAGTACTGTCATGATGACACAGGGTATATTTCCCCATATCTCCCACTGAGTACTGTCATAATGACACAGGGTATATTTCCCCATATCTCCCACTGAGTACTGTCATGATGACACAGGGTATATTTCCCCATATCTCCCACTGAGTACTGTCGTAATGACACAGGGTATATTTCCCCATATCTCCCACTGAGTACTGTCATGATGACACGGTATATTTCCCCATATCTCCCACTGAGTACTGTCATGATGACACAGGGTATATTTCCCCATATCTCCCACTGAGTACTGTCATGATGACACAGGGTATATTTCCCCATATCTCCCACTGAGTACTGTCATGATGACACAGGGTATATTTCCCCATATCTCCCACTGAGTACTGTCATAATGACACAGGGTATATTTCCCCATATCTCCCACTGAGTACTGTCATGATGACACAGGGTATATTTCCCCATATCTCCCACTGAGTACTGTCATGATGACACAGGGTATATTTCCCCATATCTCCCACTGAGTACTGTCGTAATAACACAGGGTATATTTCCCCATATCTCCCACTGAGTACTGTCGTAATGACACAGGATATATTTCCCCATATCTCCCACTGAGTACTGTCATGATGACACAGGATATATTTCCCCATATCTCCCACTGAGTACTGTCATAATAACACAGGGTATATTTCCCCATATCACCCACTCAGTACTGTCGTAATCATGGTAATGACACAGAACATATTCCCTAATTCTGTTGCAGTCAAATGGACGCTGCTTGTACTTAATGAAACCCACTTAACCCTTCCTTTCAGCAGTGAGCAGTTCCTCTGTGGCTGTTAACAGAAGGATCTAGCTAATCTGTAGTCAGTACATTAGGATTGCTTCTCACCCCTCCCTGCAGACCCTGTGTAACTCTGCAGGATTAGGGAGAGTTGGTGTGTTTGATCAGCCATGGGGGCATGAAGGGGCCTCATTGTACATGTTGTAGAAGTCACTCAAGAGATGGACACACGGATAATCTCGGGAGAAGAGACAGCCAGAAATATGTATGACATCTTGTCATGTTTGGCTAAACCCAGTCTGTTTCATTACGTTCGACATTTTCGGGAGTTTTCTCAAGGTGATGTTTTTGTTCTGGAAGAATTTAATATTTTCGGCAATCTGGTCTTCTTGTTGTCTGATGGAGACTGTGATGAAGAAGACCTTCACTTACAGCAATTTCGGTGGAATTACAGTGATGTGGTGTTTGATAGCAGGTGCTTGAAACATGTGTGCATCAAGAAGGGGATTGAACACACTGAAGGGGAGGTTTGATGTTCTGCCAGGTGTGTTCAACACAAGGCCCAGGTGAGGGACAATGATCAGTGTTAATGAGGTTTTCATTGAAAGCACTCGCTTACCATGAACTTACTTGACAACAGTCAAGATATATCATTATTAGCTTGTATCTTTGTAGCAAGGTCCATATCAGGAAGTATAAGAGGTTGTTTTATTTTCATTTATTCAGAAAAACAGATGTGTAATTTTGTGTAAACATGGTAAAGAGATATGCTAAATGTGTGGATCAAGTTTTGTAGAGTTGGCTTTTTAATAGCAGCTGCTGTAATACAGGGTTTTACACGACGTGCAATTGTTCAGAATGGACGCAGAAAAAATATATGCTGTGTCCCAAAGGACGCTCAATAATATTCATTGTACCTACAGCGCATCAAGAGCAGTTATCACGGTTATGGGTGTCTGTTATTTCATCCATCAATAATGTCCACTGTCCACATGATCATTGATTCATTCCAGGCTCTAGAGTAATTATGAAGATGTACAGTACACTATACCATATTATTACAGGACCCTCATATTGCCTGCAAGGACCCTTCAAATTAAATATTGGGGTCCCCCGGACCCCCAGTTTTGTAAGTCAAGGTAAAACCCTGAATGATGTCAGAATAAGAGGTTAGCGTGCCTAGTCGACATGGTTGGTGGTTTTATTAAGTCATTTGCAAACTCCATTTCCATGAGAATGGGATGATATACAGACCTGAGTCTGGCCAGTTGATGCACCCAGGACTAAACTTCCTATGTTCCATGCGTGCCCACTGTCAAGACTAAGCGTAGAAGTCTGTGGGTCCTTGTCAAAACCCCAATGTTAATAGTTAAAGATTTAGGGTATCCAAGATTCAATTCTTCAGCAGCCTGCTCTTGATTTAGACACTGTATGGTTCTTTTTGGTCCACGCTGTCTTGTCCATCCTCATTGTCTCATCCTGCCAAAGAACTGGGTTGATTTTCCAAAGTAGCACATCATGTGAACCCCATCTCTGGTGTCCACGCATGTAATAACTGGAATGTTGCCCAAACTGGCGCTCCTTACCTATAAGCTCAGCTCATAATTGTTTGCATAATAACACTAAACTCTACTGAAAATGATGCCAAGAGTTCTGGCTAGTAGTGTCAAAATATTTAGCATAGACTGCCGTTGCTGAAACTAAAACCATTGCAACCCAAACACTATTGTCTACTGCAGGTGAAGCTGTGGGGAAAACCCTTCAGACCTAACGCCAATAGACTAAGTTTCTGTAAACATGAACACACAATGCCATAACACTTAGTAAAGTACAGATTCTAGTACTTTTTAGGGTTGAGTCCCTTCGGGATTCCAAGTCACACTGCCAGAGTGAGGCACTAAGAAAGGGTTATCCCATATATAACATATGTTACATTTGACCACTTTCTGAATGGCATTGTGTGTTCATATATTTCGGCCATGGGAGCCGTGCCAATTAACACATCAGAGGGGTACACAAAGTACGTAATCTAGACTACCAGTTGTTGAACTTTATTTTCTGGA